GGGCTCCAAACTGAGGTCCTCATGTTTGTATAGCAGGCACTTTACCAACTGAGCCGTCTCCCTAGCCCCTAATTTTGATGAACTTGAACAGTTCCTCATGGATAGTGTCCAGTGCAGCCTCAGAACCTCAAACTATGAATGGAAAATTAAAGGTTTCTCCGAAGTTGTATGACTGAACACAGCTTGCATTTGACATTTAACTCCAACCAGGATGGTGTAGGTGGCCAGCAGGGGTCAGTGTAAGGCAATGATGGCACAACAGGTGCCCCTTCTCTGAGGCTCAACCCAATGCCTTTGCCAGTTTCTGACCACCTGTGAGTTTGTATAGCCTTGAGCCTATCAGCACTAGGGGGCCTTCCAGGAAACAGCTAAATTAAAAAAGAAAAAATCAAAACCCTAAAGGTGAGAGATGATGGCCAGGAAGCATAAGAGTAGGATTAGCGGAGGAGGAAGTCTCTACTTTCATGAACCCAGGGAACCTGTAGGCCTGCCTTTGAGCTAGGCTTACTGCCCCAGGGACAGGGTCATCATTCCTACAGAAAGCCAGTTGCCCCTCCATCCACCTCAGTCAGATTCCCAAGGCTGCTCCCTTGAGAATCTAAGGATTACCTATCCCAGGTAACTAGTCAAGGTCTTACTCCTCACTTTCTGTCCCACATCTCCTGCCAGACTGCCGAGTCTTGGGTCTCCTCCAGCTGAGCTACCCAGACCCCATCTCATCTTACTCCTCGCCATTGAAAGAAAAATGTTTTGGTTGCCTCGGCCCCAGGAATCTCTATTTCCCTCTTTTACAGGTGAGGAAATAGGGCCAGAGAGGGTCAGAGTACTACTCTAAGTCACACAGAAAAGTCAAGGCAGAGGCTGGAGAGATGGCGCAGTGGTTTAGAGTACTGGCTGCTCTTGCACAGGGCCCAGATTTACTTCCCTGCACTCATATGGTAGCTAACAACCCTAACCAGGGGATCCAACGTCCTCTTCTGGCCTCTGTGGACATTATATGCACATGGTGTACTTACATATATACAGGCAAAATACTTGTATGCATAACGTAAATAAATTTTTAAAAATTTATTTATTAATACAAAGGCTGGGCCAAGATGAGATCCCAAGTCTCTAGCCTCCATGACTGGGCTCTGTCCACACAGCAGTTTCCCTGATGCGACTCTCCTCAGTAGCTCCTAAAGGACTCCACCTCTGTTACTTCAGCAACTTCCCTGAACACACCTCCTCAGCCTCCCTTCCCATATTTAGGAGAAACGGTGAGAGACACTGTGTCCTCAGACTGTGGTGTTTCAGAGGACGTTACTCTTCCCCTGCAGAATAGAGGTCCCAAAGACACTCTGACACAGCACAAGTGAGGTAGGCCTAGAGGGCCTGAGCCCTCTAGGGCTGTTCGGACTCTAAGTGGGTTTAATAGAGCAGGCGAGAGAGTCTTTCCAGACCTGGGAGAAACTGAGCCCTTACATACAGACCCTCCTGAGTCTGGCCGGGTCTCATAATACCAAGTCCTGTGCTATAATGTGCACCAAAATCGGAAAGCCCAAATCTCAGGCTAGGAGTGGGGTTAGAATAACCCAGGGCTCTACCTGAGATCACTGGTCTGCTGGAAGCCAGGGTCTTGCCAGCTCTCTGAGCACAGGTTGATCACGGTAGCTTGGGGATGAGGGTGGAAGGATAATCGAGGGCAGCCTGGCACCACTGACCTGCCTAGGGAGCTCCAGTTTAGACCAACATGATTCTGCCCATTGCATTCAAGATAGGAACATAGCCAAGGAAGCTGCTATTTCTGGAAGAACTCAGAGAGGAGGGCTGCTGGGGGAGAGAGGGACAGGACAGTTCTGGACGAAGGCCTCTGATCCCACGAGGTGAAGACCTCTGGCAGCCTTCACTAGGTTAAATATTTTACTCAAGCTCCCGAGCTCCCTGGTTCCCTGGTGCTTAGGGAGGAAATGGATTTTTGAGTACCAAAGCTTCCATTCTTCTCCAGCATTATCTCTTCTCCATCCCTCAGGCCACCAGGGATACAGCTTTATTATCTCACTGGCTTGACTGCAGCTAGACCCACCCTTTCCAATCCTCCTGATAAACAACCCCAGAGTGATCTTTCTAGAATAAAAGTGGAACCAATTTCAAACCAATCCCTGCTTTGAAAAAGTTTCTGCAATAACTCTGTGGTAGTTTTCATATTTTTTAAAAGGTAGGTCTTCCTTTAAATCAAATGATTTATTTGGCAGAACCCCAATATGCAATGTGAGCAGGATATTATCACATAGAATTAATTTAACTCTATTTTATAAATTCAGATATAATTATCCGTATATCTACCTATCAATCAATATGAATGTGTTTGTTACAAAGCTAACCAATGAAGACAACAGTTTGGATAACAATCAATGTGAAAGCAGAAGTTAGGATGCACAGATTTAAGCTTCAGTATCCAGTCAACTTATTTCCATGTTTCTGCACAGTACTGAGAAAGTCCTGATTCACACCACTAAGTACTTGCAAATGGGAAGAGTTGTGTTTTTTTCTTGCTTTGTTTTAAATAACAGGCCTGGAAAACTCAAGCTGTTCCACTATTAAACAGATCACAGGAAAAGCTTGAGGTTTGCTAAAATAATAATAATCCCTGCAAACACAAGTTCACATGTTAGTGGTCTCCAAGGTGCTGAAATGCCCCACAAATGCATTTTAATGAATTGGATTTTTACTGTACATTTTCAGTGATTTAAAATAATGTTTTTTTTGCCAGGCTTGGTAGTGCATACCTTTAATCCCAGTACTTGGGAGGCAAAGACAGGCAGATCTCTGTGAGTTCAAGGCCAGCCTACTCTGCATAGTGCGTTCCAGGCCAGCTGGGGCTACGGGGAGACCATGTCTCAAGTTTTTAAGAAGAATAAAAATGAATAGGTTTCACAGGCCTGAAACTCCCTGAAACAAAGGGCTCCACAGAACCTAGTATGAAATCCTCAACCCCACTAAATAATGTTCAGTCTCTTTAACAAGCCTCAGTCAGGGCTGTTAGGGTGGGACCTTCTGTGTCCTTGCAATGCCCAACAAACCTGCATTTTCCCACTCAGCATTGATTCTGATCACTGACCTCAGTTTCACATTCTTTTTCCCTCTGCCCCCACTTACTCAGGCTTTAAGATAAGCTCAAATGCCAACTCCCAAAAGCCTTCCTGGCAACACTACCCCCTCCTCTATGCTCCCACTGCATCATGAGGGATCTTTTACTTGACACCCACCATCTCCAGAGCCTCCATTGACACACTGCAAACTCCTGAGAAAGGGCACAGCTTAATATCTCAGTCACCACTGATGAGCCAAGGCCTGGAAATGACATTGACAGGGTGGGCCTCCCTGGGGAAGGGTCATTGGAATAAAGCAGCTGGATGCTTTAGGGTCAGACTGGAGGTCTTTGTGGAGTGCCTCAGGGCCAGCTTCTATCTTCAGTCCCTTTCCCAAGTTTTGAGGTCTAGGGGCTGGAGTGAGCAAGGACAAAGGCAGACTTAGACATCACGAACTTGTGCAATAGAGGAAGAGGAATTTTTGTCTCTGTGTGAAGTTCCAAAGACCAACACCACCACTCAGGTCCCTGCATGTTAAGACCCACCGCGAAATCAGAAGCAGAGGCGCAAAGCCCAGTTGTTGGGAGCACAGAACCCAGGAGCAGAGCCCTGTGCCTGGAGCAAGTAGCCGGTTGCTTTAAGATGCAGGGAGCTGGACGCTCCAATCCCCTGGGCCTAGGGCTTCAGTCAGAGCCCAAATGCAGAGGCTTGGATCCGGGGGCCAGAGCCAGCCCAGAAGGTGGAGACCCGAGCGCACAGCAAGGTGCCGGATTTCCAGCGTCGGGTTACTGAGCTCGGTCGGGCGCCGCTGCAGGAACAGCAGACCAGCTTTGCCAAGTGTTGTCCGTTCGTCCTGGCTGCCAACGCCGGGAGGGGTGGGCCCCTGATGACAGCATGGGGAAGGGGGATCCTGTCGTGGAACCGGAGCCCCGGAGGAAAAAACCACCACCACCACCACCAGAGCAGAGTTCCCAAAATAAACTCCAGCCGGTGCCAACCGCCGGGTACACTGGGACTGAGGACCTGCGTCCCCTCCAGGAATGAAGCCACGAGTCCCTTCCCAGAGGGCTTGAGACCCCTCCCTGGAAGTGGCCCTTCCCGAGTCCCCCAAACCCAAGCCCTGCCTGTACCGATTTGGGTTTCTTCTTGGGCGCGAGGTTGTCGTAGAAAGTCTTGGCCTCCTCCCAGCGCGGCACCGCGGCGGTCTCTGCCCCTGGCCCGGGTTCGCGGGCTTCCCGGGGCTGCCCCGGCTCCATGCTCCGTCTCCGATCGGATCAGATCCGAACCCGCCGGGCCGGGGCAGGTAGCGGCGGAGACGTGGAGCTCTCGCGCTGGGTTGCCGGAGGGAGGCGCGTCTCCGGAGGGAGCAGCGCCCCAGCAGGGCCGGGAGGGAAGCGAGGGCACCCGCCCCACCCGCGCGGGGTGGGGGACTGCTGGGTCCGACTCTCCGCCGC